CTCAGCCACAATATCTGGATGGACAGAGGGATGAAGATCATCATCTTGAAAGATGGCACTATACTCAAATCTCTGGCATGCTGACCTCATTACCTTTAACCTGGACACAAAGGTCACTATTAAAACAGTGACAAATGACGCCAACATAGCGAACGTCCTAAAGGGAAATAACTGTTGTTCATTAAAGAAAGGGAAATAAATCCACACTGGCATTTTAATAATGTCCTCGCCGGCGCCTATTCTCAAAATGAGACCTACAAAAAATCCACAGATGGCCCCGACTGGGTTGCAGTAATTCGGGAAGTATAAAATCGTTGTCAGCTGCGGAAAGATGATGACGAAAACAATGTCTGCGGCCAGGACAAAGACACCATAGATGACGCTGGACCACAGGGCAATCCCCATGGAGACGGAGCCAAAGAAGACCACTGCGACGATCTGAACAATTCGAAGTTCCTTCCAGGATGCCTGCAAGTAAAATAATAAGCATGTATTAATGCCAGCAGTACAATGAAGAGATTAAACTTGATGTTCAGAATCTATAAATGCCAGCAATACAATGAGATTAAACTTGATGTTCAGAATCTATAAATGCCAGCAGTACAATGATGAGATTAAACTTGATGTTCAGAATTTATAAATGCCAGCAGTACAATATGAGATTAAACTTGATGTTCAGAATCTATAAATGCCAGCAGTACAACAATGAGATTAAACTTGATGTTCAGAATCTATAAATGCCAGCAGTACAATAATGAGATTAAACTTGATGTTCAGAATCTATAAATGCCAGCAATACAATAATGAGATTAAACTTGATGTTCAGAATCTAGAAATGCCAGCAGTACAATGATGAGATTAAACTTGATGTTCAGAATCTATAAATGCCAGCAGTAAAATTATGAGATTCAGCTTGATGTTTAGAATCTATAAATGCCAGCAGTAAAATTATGAGATTCAGCTTGATGTTTAGAATCTATAAATGCCAGCAGTATAACGATGAGATCTTTTCTTTTTAGCATCCATCAGTGTAAACTTTGGCAGAAAGTTCTGGTTGTTCATCCACTTCTGGATTTTGGTCTTGTTCCACAATTGGAGTTTTGCGTGCATGTCCCTTCTATTGATCTGACTTGTTTGTATGTAGGCTACTGGCTCCTGGCCTCTCAGGAAGATGCACTCTCTTCAAAGGAAACAACCCTAATTAGTCTCCCTTTATGACATGCTTGTCTTATTCTTTTTCCCTTTAAAATGGGATCCCGGAACCCACACAGGGGCAGTGATGAGATTAAATGGGGTCAGTTCAACATGTTTAAATGTCAGGAGTACAGTGACGAGAGAAAATGGGGTCTGTTGTGAATCTATAAATGTCAGTAGTTTTACCAACCCATAAATAACCAGGTCAAAAGTCAGCTGCAGGAAATTTGGCAGCAGACTATTTTGCATTGTTTGTATTAAAAAAATTAGAGTAACAAAATTCTGAGTTACAAAGAATTAAAGTAACAAAAGTCTGAGCTCAAAGAGTTTAAGTATGATAATTCTGGGTTCCATGAGTTAAAGCAAAAAGTCTGGGTTCAAAGAGTTGTTGTCTGGATTCAAAGAGTTGAAGTCAAAAAGTCTGGGTTCAAAGAGTTAAAGTAACAAGTCTAGGTTCAAAAAGTTAAAGTAACAAGACTGGGTACAAAAAAGTTGAACTAACAAGTCTGGGTTGAAATAGTTAAAGTAACAAGTCTGGGTTCAAAGAGTTAAAGTAATAAGTCTAGGTTTCAAGAGTTAAAGTAACAAATGGTAAAATACACAGTCAGTGATAAAACAGCAAAGAGTTAAAAAAGCCACAGAAGAGACTATTGTGTGTCTATAACAACAATGCCAGCCTTCTCAGTCACAATAACATAAACTAAATATTGTTTCTGTTTACTGGGGGTCATCATGACATTGACTAAAGTACATGAAAGAAAACTGACCAGCTGTGGAATGAGATGTCTGACAAAGGCGGTGAAAAAAACTAAGAGAGAACATGTGGGAAACTAAGAAATTACAAGAACTACTGGAACCCACAGGGACCTAGAAATAAAGGAAAACCAAAAAACACATGGAAAAAGGAGCAAGAGAGTTTAAAGGATATGGAGGACAAGGGGAACTACTGGAACCCACAGGGACCTAGAAATAAAGGATATGGAGGACATGGGGAGGACTTCATGCGACAGTGAAGCATAGAAGGACATGAGTTGGTTGAGGGCCTATGCTCCACTGGGGGGGGGGGGGGGAAGGAGTCAGAAGAGTATTGGAATAGTACCTATGATTAACTCTTTCAGGCCCATGAATTTTGACAGACTTGGCCCACATTAATTTCCCTTTACAAAAATGGCAGAGGGGTGGGTGTACAAGAAAGGCTGTAGAGATTGTAATATACTTCTAATCCCTATAAAAGTATATATTTTTTAAAATGAGAAATGAGTGTACATTCTGAATCTGATGATAAGTGTTTGTTTGATTTTGTTATAGTTAGTGGAAAAGAAGAATTCAGCAGGTGTTAATTTCACAAGGAAAACATTTCACACAAAAATTCTTCACTTACTATGGTTTTGCAGCCACAAGAATAGTAAATATCCAAATTTGAGAACAAAACTTCAAAGTTTGTTCAATTTCCTAACATATTCTAAAGTTATGATAACTTTCTGGGTTAGTTTATCACTCAGGGGCTCTTAGTTCCCACCGAGTGCTAAGCAAAATTTCAGAGAAAAAATGGCAGAAAAATGAGCTATAACACACACACTATTTACTATTCACTTTGTACAAGTATTTACAGACTGTAGATGCGATGATTTCAATGTACCTTAGCCATAGTATAGTACTATCTCTTTGTTTAGAGCACTTTCCTTCTCTTACACCATAAATACGGTAGTATGGGACATTGTCTGTGTAATAAACTCGTCAGAATCGCTAGATTCAGACCAGCTGATCGCTCAGCTTCACTGGTGAAAATTCACTGTCCGAATCACTTTCCGAAAAAACTAAATTTTTATTATCATTATCACAATTAAAAACATCTGACTAAAACAATTTCAGAGCTTCGGCCGCAGAAAGACGCATTTTGCGACCTGTTCTTGTGGTTAGAACATTGGTATTCAGTGCACTCAAAAAAGAACTTAGAAAATAAACTGTTAACAAAATTTGATGTTTTTTTTCTCTCTCAAATTATCCACGTGTGGTTTAGTCCAAGAAATGAAACTAAAAGGATTTCGGCAGAGTGACTTTCCCTGAATAGGTTATTTGTACCTCCAAACATTAGAAACTAGTACGAACGCGTATGCGAAGCAAAATGTAAGAGATACACGATTAACGATGACACCGTTGTTTGGACAGAACGGAACTTCTCAAACTACGCTCACACCGTTGTTTGGGCCTTAAAGAGTTAAATTATCTTAAAAAACAATGGCTGAAAAAATTTTGGCAATTCAATGAGAATGAATCCAATGAGGCCAGAAATGAGAGAGTACAACATGAAAGTAGAAACACCAAGGGGTAGGGGGTGACCAAGAAGAGAATGGATTGAAGGAGTCACTGACACCTTGAGACTGCACATTACAGCATACCGGGCAACTGAGCATGTCCTAGCTCTGATTCTGATCATCTGTTAACCTGCAACATCTAGCAGCACAAAGCCGAATATTGAAAACAGATAGAAAGAAAGAGACTAGCCAATGAATAAGCAGGATCTTTAGAGAATGTTGCTCTTTTCACGGCCCACCTGAAAGTTTCTCTAGCCAGTTCTCCAGCCCTGTGTGCTTACACAGCCAGCACATCTTCCATGTCATGTATCAATCTTCGTGGAAGTTGGTCTTTACCTCAGTTTTCCGGAAACTGTACCCTTCATCCCGGTTCTCTACAGATCACCAAGACGTTTAATATGGCCACAATACCCCAGCTTTCGAGTCAGGATGCTGTTTATGAGCCAATTCTCCTTGATGTTCAGGTCTCGGAGGATGCCGTTTTGATTCTTCTTGAACCATAACATTCTAAGAATTTGTCTGTAACATTTCAGTTTGAAAGCTCTGATTGTTTTCTTCACAAACTGAGTACAGGTGAGTAGTTATTAGTGAGGACAATCATCATAGCACTCCAGATAGGTGCATATGTGCTCCGATCTTCTCCTCAGTAGGTCCACAAGAGTAAAACCACTGATCAGACCCGATCTAACCGATCTATGTTGATTAATAAGATGCCTTGTGCCTTTGGTGAAATGTTCATGTATGGCTGTCCCAGGTTGTATCCCCCAATGTCCACCAACCCGGACAAGGATACAAAGTCCTGCTTTTTGCTGTGATTTTCTTTGCGATAAGCATCCTACATAGCATTAATGACACCACTCCTGTCCAGTGTGGGGCCGGTTGTGGTAACAGCGTTGTCTGCCAGATAATCTGCACAGTCAATGCCTTGAATATTTGCATAGCCAGGTACAAAGACTAAGCAGGAGTCCTGGACTCACATAATGAGACTAAACACTGCTGATTACGTGAAACCTATGTACACAGAACAATTACAAATCTTCCACTAGCAGTACAGAACTACAACACAGGACTACAACACAGGACTACAACACAGGACTACATCACAGAACTACATCACAGAACTACAACACAGAACTACAACAAAGGACTACAACAAAGGACTACAACACAGAACTACATCACAGAACTACAACAAAGAACTACAACAAAGGACTACAACACAGAACTATAACACAGGACTACAACACAGGACTACAACACAGAACTACAATACAGGACTATGCCACAGGACTACAACACAGGACTACAACACGGAACTATAACACAGGACTACAACACAGAACTACAACACAGGACTATGCCACAGGACTACAACACAGGACTACAACACGGAACTATAACACAGGACTACAACACAGAACTACAACACATGACTGCAACACAGAGCTACAACACAGAACTACAATACAGAACTACAACAGTGACACTTACTTGCTTCCTCAATATGTTCCTATAAATGTTGTGTGTGAACATGGAGCTGGTACCTAGCACAGCACTGTCCATAGAAGACATCACAGCTGCAGATATGGCTCCCAGACCTTCAGAGACAAAGAGTCCAGCAAACATGACTACCACTGGTTACAGAAACACTGGTTTCTAAACACATCACTACAAGCTCCCAGACTTTCAGAGACAAACAGTCCAGCAAACATGACTACCACTGGTTACAGAAACACTGGTTTCTAAACACATCACTACAAGCTCCCAGACTTTCAGAGACAAACAGTCCAGCAAACATGACTACCACTGGTTACAGAAACACTGGTTTCTAAACACATCACTACAAGCTCCCAGACTTTCAGAGACAAACAGTCCAGTAATTATAACTACCACTGGTTACAGAAACACTGGTTTCTAAACACATCACTACAAGCAGCTCTTCTTTAGCTGTTCAAAACTAAGATGATGGTGGTGATGATGATGTTCATAATGATGACTGGAGTTGTAAATCATTATAAAAATATCTCACCAAGTATGGACACAACTGGAGTTGTTAATCAATATAAAAAGAATATCTCACCAAGTATGGACACAACTGGAGTTGTAAATCAATATTAAAAAAATATCTCACCAAGTATGGACACAACTGGAGTTGTAAACTCATTAATGACCAGAGGTAAGATGAGGCTGGAGTACTCTGTACCGATTGGAGATGTGCCGTATGTTGTGCTGTTCCAGTCTGAAACCACATAAGCATACGTGTCAATACGAGTCAGGAATGGTAGCAAAGTTTGACAATGTCATTATTTACACATTTGTCCATCAAATAATAACAGAAATGTATATGTCAGTATCGGTAATTTAAAGACAACACTGACAATATAATAACAAACTGTGGTTAATGGGTTATGACAGCAGCTTCTGGAGATTAAAGGCAGCTGTGGGCAATCTGGCAGCAGACTACTTTGCACCAGCTCAACAACAATATCTTCTTTCTTCTTCTTCTCTTTGTGTTCACTGGCTGTAATTTCCGGCGGAAGGTTCTGGTTGTTTGTCCACTTCTGGACTTTAGTCTTGTTTCAGAACTTAAGTGTTGTGTGCACATCCCTTTGACAGATATGGCTTATTTGTATGCAGACTGTTGTTTTCTTGTCTCTTAGGCAGACGCACTCTGACGTCATAGGAAACTCCTAATTAGTCAAACTCTTAGGACATGCTTGTTAGTGCGTCTGTTCCAGTTTTCCCAGAATGGGATGGATGAACTACAGTACTTGAGAGTCATGAAAATGTTAACCATATTTATTATCTGTTTCAAACCAAATGCTGCGTATCCTACACTTTTATTTTAATGCATCCAAGGGTTACAAGAAGATTAACAAAGTAAGATAATTCTGATATTAATAATGCCCTTCGAGAAATGGGAAGGGTGGAAGACTTTGGGGGCAGTGAATCAATATCAATCGCCAGAATAGTAGACTTGGGAGTTAAGATCGGCATAGCAAAATACGAGATGCACACCAAGCACATCGGAGGACTTGTTAATCAACATAGAACTGGTACTATTAGCCACCGGAGGCTGGGGTTCACACTGAGGGGAGGATCTAAGCGCCTATGGACATGTCCGGATTGCAATGATGACAACCCAACTAACTAACCAAGAAAACCTATAGGAAACTCGCTTTCAAATCTAGCTGCAAGTTGCTCCAGCCCACGGCCGGTGTTGGAAACTGGCCGGTTCCCGGGGTTGACCCAGCCTCTAGGTAATGTGTACCAGAGTTAACACTCTTGGGTAAATGGAGGAACGTTGCTTTGGCTACGGAGTTGTGTGCGGACGGTGACACAGTCGGACAGTTTCTTATCATCTGTCTGTACTGGTGGCAGAGCACTTATGGTTTATAACCGTGCGCAATGACGCTGGTTCACATCTCCCGACTTTACCTTTTACCTTTACTAACTAAGAAAGAAAGAAACAGTAACAAGAAGTGTACCTGCACTGGCTCCGGCTATCCCAATCAGGACAGATGGAATGACCATGATTAAGGCACCAACAGCTCCTACAAATGACAAGATCTGGGCCTGTCTGACACTGCGAACTGACAGAACTCTCTGGAAATATGACTGCCACGGAATGGTTCCCAAAGTCTGCATGTCAAAACAAAACAAAAAGATAATAGTTACAACAAGTCAAACTACCAGAGAATAAAGACAATATTTACAAGCCACACTAACAGTTAATAAAACATAAAGCAATCATTACAGTTTCTTGTCTATTATTCTAAAATTCACATATCAATTTCCCTCCTAATTCTGTATCACCATATCGCAAAATTCTGCCTCAGCTTATGGCCCATTTCTGTCTCAGCATATGACCCATTTCTGTCTCAGCATATGACCCATTTCTGTTTCAGCAGAGAACCCATTTCTGTCCTAGTATATGGCCCATTTCTGTCTCAGAATATGACCCATTTCTGTTTCAGCAGAGAACCCATTTCTGTCCTAGTATATGGCCCATTTCTGTCTCAGAATATGACACATTTCTCAGAATATGACCCATTTCTCTTTCAGAATATGACCCATTTCTGTCTCAGCATATGACCCATTTCTGTCTCAATTCATCACCAAATCTCCTCTCACCACAACAGCAAATTCTGTCTCACAATAACAATAAATTCTGTCTCCCCATAACAGAACACAAAATTCCATCTCCCCCATAACACCAAATTCTGTCTCCCCATAACACCAAGTTCTGTCTCCCCATAACACCAAATTCTGTCTCCCTACAACATCAAATTCTGTCTCCCCATAACACCAAATTCTGTCTCCCCATAACACCAAATTCTGTCTCCCCATAACACCAAATTCTGTCTCCCCATAACACCAAATTATGTCTCCCTACAACATCAAATTCTGTCTCCCCATAACACCAAATTCTGTCTCCCTACAACATCAAATTCTGTCTCCCCATAACACAAAATTCTGTCTCCCTACAACATCAAATTTTGTCTTCCCATAATAGAACACCAAATTGAATCTCCCCCATAACACCAAATTCTGTCTCCCCATAATAGAACACCAAATTGAATCTCCCCCATAACACCAAATTCTGTCTCCCCATAACACCAATTTCTGTCTCCCCATAACACCAAATTTAGTCTCCCCATAACACCAAATTATGTCTCCTCATCACAACAAATTCTGTCCAAGCTATTAAATATTCCCCTTCAACCCCAATGTTTAGAAGTAACTGCATTAACACACGCTCTCTCACCCCTCACTCACACACACTCCCCCTCCTTTCCCCCAAGAATCAGCATCATAGCACAATATGCCCACCATCCCCTGCAGCAAATGTCTCAATGTGTAGATGCTAACTGTTCCTGTAGCACACTGATAATAAACTCATGGTTCTCTTTCTCTCATACGTCCCTCCTTGCCGGATCCACACCTAATTCCAAGTTCACACATTCTTACCCATATTATTTCATCTAACATCATGTCTTCTATCAGCACTCATTCATAAACAATCTTCAGAATGTCTCCTTTGTCCAGTACAAGTGTTCCTGTAGCTACTGCTTTTGTAGCCAACAAATCTGCTCTTTCAATTTCTCGCACTCCTGCATATCCCAGACCATATCTCCACACGAGTCTCTGTAATACTGACAGCATCACATACCATGGCAATGAACAGATCCAGCCACACTGCCCACTGGTTGGAGGAGACCTGGCCCAACCAAGTGTCTTTACTGGACATCAGGTCATGGACCTTGCTGTTTGTGAACACAAATGGTAAGCTCACAGTCTGTAAAACAAAATACACAAACTTGACAATACTAAATGTCCTGAAGTACAGTTCTCATCCCACACAGATATTTATATTATTAATATTATTTTTATATTCTTCTTAGCATGCACCAGCTATAAACTCCATGAAGTTTACAGTTCTGGTTGATTGTCTACTTCTGGACTAAAGTCTTGTTCTCGAATTTGAGTTTTGTGTGCACATCCATTTTACACATCTGGGTTTTGTGTGTGTGTGCAAGCTGTTGGTTCCTCACCTCTGAGATAGAAGCACAATAAAGGAAACACTCCTAATTATTTGCTTTTTATAACATGCTTGTTACAGGGGTAGTGAGTCTATTCCCCCCCCCCCCCCCCCCCCCCCAAACAATTGGGGCCTGGAACCAATGCAAGAAACAAATGCAATAGAATATCAACCTACTAACCCAACAAATACATCATCTCAACCTATTAATCCACCAAATACAACATTTAACCTACTACACTAACAAATAAAACTCAACCCACTAACCCAACAACTCAAGCCACTAAACCAACAAATACAACTTCCGGTCCAATATGGAGGACTAGGCATGGCAGAATGTTTAGCTTCGAGGTTATTTTTGCTTCTGACAGCGCTTTGTTAATGTAGTTTCCACATATGGACATAAGTCTACAGTTCTGCTGCCTGGGCTACTGAGTTTAGTGCTTGGTGAAGCACTGTGAGCCATGTTTTTTTTTTCATGTGAAGTGCCTTTACGCAGCAGTTGAGTCATGATATTTAATGTGGCCGGTAGAGGGCTTACATGTGGGCTGGTGAGGCACCTTGTGTAATAGTTTTGCATGTGCAGAGCCATCATATTTTGACCAACTACTTCCATCAACAGGCTGCGTTTCTGGTGGCAACTGTTGGCTTTGACACCTCTAGCGGCTGCTGTGTGCACACATTTCTGGATTCTTCCTGGACTAGTTGTTTGTTCACCGGTTTTACAGGTGTAAGAGTGGGGGACATTTTGTTTGATTTTCACTGTCACAGGAACAGAGCAAGTATAGGGTGACCCGATTGCAGGAAGGTTGAAACCTGGACTTCGACATACAACAACATGGCAGCTTACCAAGCCAACAAAGATAAACACCAGCTGGACCACATCAGTGTAAGCCACGGAGATCATGCTACCGACCATGGTGTAGACAATGGTGACAGAGCCCGACAGAAGCACCGCAACCAACAACTGCAGGTCTGCAATGACACTCAGCGTTGTGCCTGTCCAACAAGACAATCAAACAACAGCTACAGGTCAATGTTAACTCATTGTGAATTTAAATATCACAGTTAGTACCACATTTATTAATTGATCCTCTTCTTCTTCATCTTCTGTATGTGTGTGCGTTTCAGTGTGAGTGCGTGTGTCATGGGCGTGTATATGTGTGCATGTGTGTGTCTCCATGCATGCCTGTATGGATTATGTGTGTGTGTATGTATGTATGTATGCCAAAATTAGATGTCATCCTGTAAAAGGGAGAGCTTGAATAAACTATAAAATACAATGCATATTATAAAAATTACAAAATATTTGTTATCAATGAATCTAGCTCTTCTAGTCCTAAACAACGCATGATGTATTGTTACTGACTATTCCCATCCCCCTCTTACCTCCCCTCCCCCTTCTCCAATCCCCACACATCGCATCAAGTGTCTTCTTGTATTTAAGTTTTGGTTAGTGTGTATACTCAATAAAACTGGTAACGATAGAGCTATCTTCCCTTCATTTTTATTTCCTACATCGCAAGTGGGGGAGTCACCGTAGCCGAGCGGCTAGACGCTCATCGCGGATCGGAAGGTCGTGGGTTCACTCCCTGGCGGAGCCAGACTTTTTAAAAAAAATAACCTTGGCTCCCAGGTCGACCCAGCCTTGAGTGGGTGCCGGGTGCAGTCCCAGGAAAGTAAAGGCAGCCGGCGTGATGCTGACCACATCACCCATCTTGTGCCGAGTGGTCTATAAAAATATAGGTCTAGCCCTATATGCCCTATACGCCTGATGGCGTGAAAAAGGGTCCTGTACTTTTTTTTTTACTTACTTTACACCGCAAGCGATTAAAATTTTCATGGTAATATTTAATTAAAACAACATGTTTTTTTTTTTAATAAAACCATACTGGACCAAGAGTTAAGTTTGAACCCACACTAGGCAGATTTGTTTAAAAGTTATTTCAGTTTCCAGCTCAACGCAGCCTAAACTGGATACAAGAAAATATCTTGGGACGAAAGGTGGCCAGCATGATGCTGACCACACCATCCATCGCGTTATGAATGGTCCACACAAATCTACAAAAAAAACACAAGGCCATTGTGAGGTGTACTTTATGTTGTACTGTAAACAAATTTTACTGGCCACTATCCTGTGGTGTCCACTGACCTAAAGTACTACGTACAGAGGCAGTTCCAAATAGATCTCCTGTCAAACTGGCTAACAGGTCAACTCAATCATCCCGTTGTGGGATGCAATTTTTCGTTATTATGAAGCCCTACCCTGGCTCTTGCCAGGAGCCCCAATATAGCCCGGCCATTAATATGGCCTCACTGCTGAACGCGGATTCTGGGACCTCTCTACGGTTCATCCTCATCCACATGGTGGCAGTTTGTGTCATCGGGTGTTTATCGCTTGTGTGATGTCCTGATGGGGTAGAAAGTCAGTGCAGTTTAAACTGGCTAATATATCTCAAACTACTAAACCAACAAGGACATTCATTCAGTCACTGTAGTGTTATTATAAATCACATAGGGCTCACACTATTTTTCCATTCGGCTCTACCTTCTGTAATCACTTTATTATCATGGATAGAATCCAGTTGAGGACCTTTAGCTTCTCTCACCATTGTTGGCTTCAGGGTTTATTTTCAACATCCTTATTTCCTCAGTCCCTCTGTTTCCCATTGCAGCGCCTGTCTGGGAATTCTCTGTTAGTCGCTTCTTAGAGTGTGTCCAATATAATGCCCTCCTCTGTCATATAACAGCTGACCCTAGCAGGCATCACTTGAAAGGTCTCAGCTGGTTAGCATCCTTTGGATATATTCAAGACAACATCTCAAACTACCAAAACAGCAAGACAACATCTCAAACTACCAAACCAGCAAGACGACATATCAAACTACCAAACCGGCGAGACAACATCTCAAATTACCAAAACAGCAAGACAACATCTCAAACTACCAAACCAGCAAGACGACATATCAAACTACCAAACCAGTGAGACAACATCTCAAATTACCAAAACAGCAAGACAACATCTTGAACTACGAAAACAGCAAGACAACATCTCAAACTACCAAACCAGCAAGACAACATCTCAAACTACCAAACCAGCAAGACAACATCTCAAACTACCAAAACAGCAAGACAACATCTTAAACTACCAAACCAGCAAGACAACATCTCAAACTACCAAAACAGCAAGACAACATCTCAAACTACCAAACCGGCGAGACAACATCTCAAACTACCAAAACAGCAAGACAACATCTCAAACTACCAAACCAGCAAGACAACATCTCAAACTACCAAACCGGCGAGACAACATCTCAAACTACCAAAACAGCAAGACAACATCTCAAACTACCAAAACAACAAGACAACATCTCAAACTACCAAGACAACATCTCAGACTACCAAAACAACAAGACAACATCTCAAACTACCAAACCAGCGAGACAACATCTCAAACTACCAAACCAGCAAGACAACATCTCAAACTACCAAAACAGCAAGACAACATCTCAAACTACCAAAACAACAAGACAACATCTCAAACTACCAAACCAGCAAGACAACATCTCAAACTACCAAACCAGCAAGACAACATCTTAAACTACCAAAACAGCAAGACGACATCTCAAACTACCAAAACAGCAAGACAACATCTCAAACTACCAAAACAACATCTCAAACTACCAAGACAACATCTCAGACTACCAAAACAGCAAGACAACATCTCAAACTACCAAACCAGCAAGACAACATCTCAAACTGGGACTGACCTAAAGCGTTCAGTATAGATGCAGTCCACAACAGGTCCCCAGCCAAACTGGCCAGATATATCAGGAATGTGACTACGTTGCCATAGTGACGTTGGAAGGGGTCCAGCATGGTGAGGTACTCCCGTTCTCGCATTTTGCCGGCATAAACAATGCCACCTGCAAACATGTTGAGGATTAGTCTGGCAACAAAAATAGGCATTAAAAAATCTGGCGTGCCTTTGAGGTTTGAACAACAGATCAACATCATGGCACACGGGTAGTAACCCATTAGTGCTCCGTTCTTCTTCTAACTCAAGTCTGAAGAAGCTCAGCACAGTTCACAGGCTCTGTAGCACCGGCGAGGATCCTGAAATACTTTGGGTAAAATTTTAAACTCCAAATTTTGCCGGGGCAGCGCCGTTAGACTACTCTTTTTGATTTCCAATTGCCAGGGGATTTATTACGTGCGCAACAATGCTACCCAGAGACCAGGGGGAATTACTATAAGTCCAAGTCGCCGTGAAAAAATCCCAGCCCTTACCAGGACTGAACCCAGAATCTCTAGCACTCGAGGCGGACACCATGCTTCGAGACCATGCAGCCTATGCAGAAGGCAATGGCAGGTACAAAGTAATGAACTGTATAAAGTAATGTGAGTGATAAAACAATAAGAATGGCACAGAAATGAGAGAAACAAAACCTTGAGAGGTACAAAACAATGAGATATATCATAACTTGACAAGCACAAAATAATGAGAGGTGCTAAGAAAGTGGTACAAAGTAATGAGAATTGCAAAGTTATGAGAGGTATAAAGTAATGATAGGTGCATAGTAATGAGGCACAAATTAATGAGACGTATAAGGTCATGAGAAGTGCACAGTAATGAGAGGTGCAAAGTAATCAGCGATGTAAATTAATAAGAGTTTCAAAGTAATGAGAGGCTCAAAACAATGAGAGGTACAAAGTAATAAGGCGTACCTCACTCCTGGGTCACCTATCACCTTTAATGGACACATTCAGGGTTATATGCCCACTCCTAGGTCACCTATCACCTTTAATAGAAACATTCGGGGCTATGTGCCCACTACTAGGTCACCTATCACCTTTAAAAGACATATTCAGGGTTATGTGCTCACTCCTGGGTCACCTATAACCTTTAATAGAAACATTCGGGGTTATGTGCCCACTCCTGGGTCACCTATCATCTTTAATAGACACATTCGGGGTTATGAGCTTACTCCTGGGTCACCTATCATCTTTAATAAACACATTCAAGGTTTTGTGCCCACTCCTGGGTCACCTATCATCTTTAATAGACACATTCAAGGTTATGTGTCCACTCCTGGGTCACCTATCATCTTTAATAAACACATTCAAGGTTATGTGTCCACTCCTGGGTCACCTATCATCTTTAATAGACACATCGGGGTTATGTGCCCACTCCTGGGTCACCTATCATCTTTAATAGACTCATTCAAGGTTATGTGTCCACTCCTGGGTCACCTATCATCTTTAATAAACACATTCAAGGTTATGTGTCCACTCCTGGGTCACTTATCATCTTTAATAGACACATTCAAGGTTATGTGCCCACTCCTGGGTCACCTACCACCTTTAAAAGACACATTCAGGGTTGTGTGCCCACTAATACATCCGTACGGTCTCACCGAGCTATTTAATGAGACTGCCATTGGGGTTTTCCACCAGAGGTTGGTTTCCCTAGTAATATACATGGTATATGCAGTTACCTGTACATTTTAAGCAATATCTGTTTCATAAACTTTAAGTGGCTCGAGTATTTTGCATTAACCTCTGACCTTTGGCATACTAAACTAGTTATTAAAATGAGTTAGCACATCACAGTAATCAACTTCCACTTTTTCAATGCATGCTTTCTCAGGGACTCAATGAGTATGCTCAGGAAGGTAGAGAAGGGCTGAATCAGAAGACAGCGTTTGGAAGTCTCTAAAGCGGTCCGGGCTGACACATATTAATTTAATATTTGTGTCTGGGCACACAGGCATGCAAGGAAATGAGCAAGCTGATCGGCTTGGAGGTAAAGCTACTGTAGAGGGCAGACGAGTCATGGATAAGGCTGATATTGTGAATGCTCTACAAGAAGTAAGACGTTTGCGAGAACCAAATGATGACTGTGAACTTGCAACCATGACCACACTGCAAGAATAACATGTTAAATAAGGTGTGGCCAGAAAAGAGCAGTATGCAGGAAGCCAAAGAAAAAAATAAACCAACACTGAACTGGTGTCGTCAGCCGATACAAGCTGCGGGATTTACTAAGGAGAGGATTCAAGCATTTACGGACTGAATGGTTCGATGTGCAAAGAGAATAATCTGTCGACTAACTAACTTCAACTGCTGTTGTTAAGCCTCGTGGAAAAAAACATTTTCAAAGTCCCCTGCTCAATGGGTAGCCACAATTGCTGTCATTTCATGTTCTTCTTAAGCACCTTTATGTTAACGATGTTTTTGATGTAATTTTACATTCGTAACTAATCAGCAATATTGTATGTAATCTTTCTTTGTCAACTGAGACAAGAAAGACAATTCTTAAGAGCTATATAAATCAGATCTTGATATACGGAAGTAAATCTTGGATAGTTCAATTAGTGAGAAATTATTGGGAAGCTGTAGAGATGTGGTTTTATACACGAAGGCTGAGAATACCCTAGACAGATAAAAGAGTAATGAAGATGTCTTGAAAGAAACTGACTTATGAACAGAACTGATTGCTCACATCAGAAAGAGACAATCTACATTCTTTGGTCATGTGATGAGAAGGAAAAGAACTGGAGTACATCGTTAACAGTAGGAAAGTTGGAGGGGAGGAGAGGGCAGAGGGAGACCGAGAGAAAAGATTCTGGACAATTTGATATCATGGCATGGAAGATCATCTGTGTCAGTGCTGATTGAAAGTACACAAGACAGAAGGCTGTGGATAGACATGACTACCAATGCCACACAGCATGGATTTTAAGAAAAAGAACTAATCATCATCATCAATCATCATCACTAAAACAAAAAAAACCTACCAATCATAAGTCCAATAAAGATACCCAAAGGTGCAAGGGTCCACACCAACCCATCTCTGGCCACAGACTCTGCTGTCCCATTGATGTAGCCGCCTCCGACAGTAGTTGCTGAAAAGTTTAACCTCAAGTGTCAGCCATGATAATCAAATACCAAATAATCAACAGACTACACAAAGTTCAGATGAGCCAGAATACTTCTATGTGCTGCCTTACCTGTTGTCTGTATAGAATTCCTAGCCATCGGCCCGACCCATTCATGCTCCATCCTCTGAAGCAGCAGCCATTCTCAGCTTCCATGCTCAAAAGTAAATTAGCAAATCTTTCTTTGCCCTGCAACCAGCTTCAGCATGCTAGTCCTAATTTATTACCCATTTCCAACAGGTGGTTCATCGTCTCTCTGACTCCTGTGTCGCTATATTTATCATCTCTGACTCCTGTGTAGCAATGTTTATCGTCTCTCTGACTCCTGTGTCGCTATATTTATCGTCTCTGACTCCTGTGTAGCAATGTTTATCGTCTCTCTGACTCCTGTGTCGCTATATTTATCGTCTCTGACTCCTGTGTAGCAATGTTTATCGTCTCTCTGACTCCTGTGTTGCAATGTTTATCGTCTCTCTGACTCCTGTGTTGCAATGTTTATCGTCTCTCTGACTCCTGTGATGCAATGTTTATCGTCTCTCTGACTCCTGTGTTGAAATGTTTATCATCTTTCTGACTCCTGTGTTGCAATGTTTATCGCCCCTGACTCCTGTGTTGCAATGTTTATCATCTCTCTGACTCCTGTGTTGCAATGTTTATCGTCTCTCTGACTCCTGTGTTGCGATGTTTATCATCTCTCTGACTCCTGTGTTGCAATGTTTATTGTCTCTCTGACTCCTGTGTTGCAATGTTTATCGTCTTTCTGACTCCTGTGTTGCAATTTTTATCGTCTCTCTGACTCCTGTGTTGCAATGTTTATCGTCTCTCTGACTCCTGTGTTGCAATGTGTATCGTCTCTCTGACTCCTGTGTTGCAATGTTTATCGTCTCTGACTCCTGTGTCGCAATGTCTCTGAAATGCACTATGTGAAGCCTACAAAACAGCATTCAAAACTATTCTTTAATGTGATCACTTACATTTGAGTAGAACCTCAACAATTGTGATTTGCTATTTCAGGTAGTTTTGATGTATGACTGAACAATATGACTCCCAGAAATATCTTTTAGGTACATCAGCTGGCATTCATCATCATCATCATCCCGCAACAATGCGTGTCATTGGGTCACCAGTTGCTGTTAACTGTCTGATCAGCTCCATCCACCTTTGAAAGTCAGATGCAGTGAACCTCATGGCTGCATGCCTAAGGCATGTCCAGTCAGTCAAGTTCTATATCCAGGTCTTTCTTGATCTGCCTCTTCTCTTCTACCCCTCTAATGAGCCCTGTAGTATTATTTTTGAGAGGTCATTAGATCTTATGACATGTCCATTTCATTGGATTTTTAATCTTTCCACTGGCACTTGTTGACAATATCTTATACTGACTGCTGATTGGACTATGAAAACTTGAGTCTAGCAGTATATGCCTCATGTCATCTCCACCCAAAGGTGTCTCCACCTTGACGTGTTGGGGCTGCTGGCACTTCTCAATGACAGTCTTCTTCTTCTTCGCATTCACCAGCTGTAAACTCTGGCAGAAAGATCTTGTTGTTCGTTCACTTCTAGAGTGCAGTCTTGTTCCAGAACCTGAGTGTTGCGTGTGCATCCGTTACACAGATATGACTCATTTGTATGCAGACTGCTGGTTTCTTGTCTCTCAGGCAGATGTCCTTCGACTTCAAACAAGGCTCTCAATTAGTAAACTCTAGAACCAAGCTAGCTTGCGATGTTCAACCACTGCCAAGAAAGGCATCTGATGTCCGGCAAATTTGTCTGTTTTGTCTCTGACATATTTATTTGTTTTGTGTTCTAAATAAATCATTAGTAAAATGCGTCTATAGCATTTACATTCAAAATCTTAAATCCAGAAAACAACAACATGCAGATGTGAACACGCAACACCCACCTATCATAGTAAAGATGCCAATAATTCCCTTGAGGTCCCTCCCCGCCACCAGAGCTGTCTCCAGGCCTCCAGTATCATGACCTCTAACCTTGACTTTCCATGCGGCCACAAGTCCCACAACCAAAATGACAGCGTAGAAAATGATCAGGACGACAATAGCCACCACATTCAGAGCCATCCTCTTTACCTTGTTTTAGTCCTGCCAAATAAGTTTCACACAATTTATTTCCTGCATCAAAATTGGAGCTTTCTGAAAGTGTCTATATCAAAATTAATTCTGTTACTCTGTACACCTTGTTAGACAGTCAACAAGAAACAAGTCTGGTGGTGAATGCCTGGTAACTAATACTGTTCCCACTGTCACTTTCTAGACAGAGAGAGTTGACAAAACTAGAACTGAACAAGAACACATAAGAGGAAAAGAAATGAGTTCAGCATCAGGTTTAGAGCAGTAACCTCTAGCCACAACTAATGTGGAACACTGTCACTCAGTCACAAACTATCACACCTCACCTGGACAAATGTGTACCTTTAACCTTTAAGGACCATTTGCCCTTTGAAGCCAGTCAGTTTCTGATACAGGTGAATTATTTAAACTGAGTGAATGATATGCCAAACTACAACACGACAGTCATGTGTCTTCTGATCAAGTGGACTGTTCCAATTACAAGCACACACACCAAGAATGTTCAACTTTCTGTAACAGTTCCAGGAAAGGTATTGAAGTCAATTAAAGAGTTACATGGACATTTGTTCTAGTTATTGGAACAGATCCAGGGACAGCTGTTCTAGATGCAGGAACATGTCCAGGGACAGTTGTTCTGGTTACTGGAATAGATTCAGGGACAGTTGTTCTGGTTACTGGAATAGATTCAGGGACAGTTGTTCTGATTGCTAGAATAGATTCAGGGACAGTTGTTCTGGTTACTGGAATAGATTCAGGGACAGTTGTTCTGGTTACTGGAATAGATTCAGGGACAGTTGTTCTGGTTACTGGAATAGATACAGGGACAGCTGTTTTAGTTACTGGAACAGATCTAGGAGCAGTTGTTTTAATTACTGGAAAAGATCAGGGGAAAAGGGGGGGGGGGGGGTGGTTCTAGTTATAGGAACAGATCCAGGGGCAGTTGTTCTAGTTATAGGAACAGATTCAGGGACAGCTGTTCTAGCAAGGAAGCTGAAATGAAGCTCTTCTCGCAGACAGATTTTACTTGATCTAAGAAAAGCTCTAAAAAGCCTGGTGACCTGCTCGACTATGTGACGAAAGCTAGCCTTTGTTTCCAAGCATAGATATTATGTCCTGAAGTGGACTAATCATGTAGCAGGTCCTATGTATTCATGTAGCATGTCCTTTGCAATGACGTAGCAGGTTCTATGCAATCATGTAGCAGGTCCTTTGCAATAATGTAACAGGTCCTTTGCAATGATGTAACAGGTCTTTGCAATAATGTAACAGGTCCTTTGCAATGATGTAACAGGTCCTGTGCAAAGATGTAACAGGTCTTTTGCAATGATGTAACAGGTCCTTTGCAAGGATGTAACAGGTCCTTTGCAATAATGTAACAGGTCCTTTGCAATGATGTAAAAGGTCCTTTGCAATGATGTAACAGGTCCTTTGCAATGATGTAACAGGTCCTGTGCAAAGATGTAACAGCTCTTTTGCAATGATGTAACAGGTCCTTTGCAAGGATGTAACAGGTCCTTTGCAATAATGTAACAGGTCCTTTGCAATAATGTAACAGGTCCTTTGCAATGATGTAACAGGTCCTTTGCAATGATGTAACAGGTCTTTTGCAATGATGTAACAGGTCCTTTGCAAGGATGTAACAGGTCCTTTGCAATAATGTAACAGGTCCTTTGCAATGATGTAACAGGTCCTGTGCAAAGATGTAACAGGTCTTTTGCAATGACGTAACAGGTCCTTTGCAAGGATGTAACAGGTCCTTTGCAATAATGTAACAGGTCCTTTGCAATGATGTAACAGGTCCTTTGCAGTGATGTAACAGGTCCTTTGCAGTGATGTAACAGGTCCTTTGCAATGATGTAACAGGTCCTTTGCAATGATGTAACAGGTCCTTTGCAATGATGTAACAGGTCCTCTGCAATGATGTAACAGGTCCTTTGCAATGATGTAGCAGGTCCTTTGCAATGATGTAACAGTCCTTTGCTGTGATGTAGCAGGTCCTTTGCAATCATGCATCAGGTCCTTTGCAGAAAACTGCTCTCATCCCAACCTGCCTGAAAGAAATTTGATCTCTTGCCAGCTCTCCAGTCTCATGGACTTTTCCACCAAGGTTTCACTCATATCCTATGCCCACCTTCATGCTGGTTGGCCCCTGCCTCTCTTTCCTGGCTCCATGCCTTCTGCTAATATTCTTTTCAATCCACTGTGTCGCTTGATATGGCCAAAATATTTCAGTTTCCCGGAGAAGATACTGTTTACTAACCAATCTTTCTTGATGTTTAGATCTTTCATATGGTCTTTTCTTCTTGGTCCATGGTATCCTGAAAATCTTTCTATAATATTTCAGTTCAAAAGCCTCTATTTTCTTTCTTGATACTGCAGGATAGTATCCATATGTTAGTTAGTCGACAGATTATCATCACTGCACATCGAACCATTCACTCCATAAGTGCTCAGATCCTCTACTTAGTAAGTGTGTAGCAGCTCAGGACACCAGGTCTGTGTTGATTTTTTTGTATTCTTCTTTGGCTTCCTGCATAGTGCTCTTGTCTAGCCACAGCTCTTGTAGCATGTTGTTCTTCCAACTGTGGATCTGGCCCAAGGGAGCCACATTGAAAGAGAAGCTATGGGGGACCGGTGGCGACCTTAAACGCACAATCCTATTTGTGACCCAGACGGGACTCAATGTTTAGCATGACTGATGTCGAACGCAGAAGAAGACGAAGTTGTTCTTCCATTCTGGTCATGCTTGCAGATTCACAGTCATCAGTTCTTGCAGACGTCTTACTTCTCATAGAGGATTCAGAATATCAGCATGGCCCACTGGTCATCTGTCCTCCACAGTAGCTTTACCTACAAGCCGATAAGCTTGCCCATTTCCTTGCAAGCCTGCATGCCCTGGCACAAATACGAAACTAATATGTTTCAACCACAACCGTTTTAGAGTCTCCAACCACTGTCTTCGGACCCAGCCCTTCTCTATGCTCCTTAGCATACTCATTGAGAATGTTACTACAAGGAAGATGCATGCCCTCAAAATACTGACCCCAATTTTATTTCTGCTGATTAACCATAGATTTGTAATGCTATTTATACAGTGGACATTTTTCCTGGAAAAAAAAACCTTTCATCATTTGTAATTTTTTTTTACTGTCACTGTATTAGTGTCCGATGGCTGCAAGCTGAAGTACTTTGTGTATGTTTGATGTTCAATATACACTTTTGTTATTATATATTGTATTGTTTTATCATTTCTTGCAGTTGCTTACATAATTTAATTATTTATTTAGAATATTAACCTTTTCACACTTTCTAGGTTGTGACAAGTACTGTATAAAAAGTATTTGAACAATATTCGTCCCCCAAAAATAGTTTATTATTATTACTGTCAAATATTATGTCCTTTGCAGGAGTCACCGTGGTGTAGCATCTAGACGCTCGCCTGTGGATCGGAAGGTCGGGGTTTAGGTCCTGATAGAGCAGAAATGAGCTTGGCTCCTAGGTCGACCCCATCTTGAGTGGGTACCAGGTACCTAGGAAGTAAAGGCGGCTTGCGTGACGCTGACCACATCACTCGCTAAGTGCCAATTGTTCCATAAAATATAGGCCTAGCCCTATATGCCTAAAGGCGTGGAAAAAACTTTGGCTCTCCTCCGAACTTCTACCCTGGCATTATGGCGCCCAAACAAATATCCTAACCGGGCCTCAGTCCTGCCGAGCGGCAAAACTAGGATTGGCTCCGTATAACGAAATAAAAGCTCTAACAGTGTCTCAGCTATATGTTAATTGCGGACCTGTTTTTGTGACTATGCCTCACCGCCGACCGTATCCCCTGCACCGCTACGCGCCGCGCGCGTAGTGGCGCGGATGGGGGATAAACTAGATGGCTGGGACTCACGAGCAGCAGCTACCGCGTCTCCTGCAACTTCCTCCAATTTATTTGCTTGTGAGTCCCAGGCATCTAGTTTAGCGTAGCGCGCGGGGGATACTATCGGCAGTGAGTGTAACTGCATTTTGCGCATGTCGCTTTTATCGTCTGTAATGTTGCGTGTCTCGAAATTGTCAATGGTCGCTAGTATCGTCTGCTAGTATCGTCTGCAGAAACGCTCGAAATTGTCACGGTCGCTTTTATCGTCTGCTACTATCGTCGGCAATGTTGCGTCTCTTGAAATTGTCAAGTAACCCTAGTTTTGCCGCGATTTGTTCCTTGGCAGACAGTCCGCATTTTACATATGCCTGAGCCCTGTAAGGATATTTTATGGCCGCCATAATACCAGGACGCCGTTCGGAGGAGAGCCAAAAAAACTTTTACTATGTTCTTTGCATAGTTAAAGTTATTGTGTTGTTTTCCTGTCTGTGGAAAGCTATCTTGTCTAGCCCTAATTTAATTTTTTTAGAGTGGGTTTTTCATGGTATGATGTAACCAGAGTGGCTTTTGCAGATATGCAGCACGTGTAACGACACCTGTATTAATACTGTTAGCACTGGCATCGAACGTTGGGGTGTTGTCTGGAGAACATAGAATAGATTGATAAGCCGGACCAAGCCCGACTTTGTTTAGTTATAAGAATCACTGCGAGGACATAAAGGAAAGGGTCAGTTTAAAATTGAATCTAATCAGGAACATCGTTAAATAGTTCGTATCCTCCACAGAATTAGCAAAACTTATATAAATACTTACATTATGTGTGAACGGAGCGGTAGCTAGAGAAGACTATCCTAAAGAAAGAATAAAGTTGCATCAAACGTTCATGTGGTCACCCATCTCACGCCGCTCTCCGCCCGTCTCTCGTCTGCTGTGATTGGTAGTCTGCTGGCTGGCGCATTCAAAAATAGTCACCGTCCGTGGCAGATTTTTACGACACAATTCTGTATACCTTTCTCCTAATTTGATTTGCTTGCTAATTCAGAACTGGGTTCAACAAAAATAATGTTGAAAGAAAACCTTTAATCTGTCAGAGAGAGAGAATTTGATTTGCCAGAGAGTGAATTTT